AGCATTTTATGAGTCCAAGGCAGCTGGCATTCACAGAACAGAGTCCTGGAGAGGAGAGAGTGACACAAAGAGAAAGCTCTGGAGATCAGCAGAGGGCTCCTCTTGAGTCTTTAAGCACTGATCAGTGTATGTATATAAAGAAACTATCCAAGGCTGACAGAAAAAGTAAAAAACACTTGAAAGGAGCAGCTGGAACATTTAACCAGAGCTCTTCTAAGGGTGGAAGTTGTTCACACTCCGAAAAGCCAGATTAGAGAAACCTCTAATAGCATGGCATGTTAGATAGAGTCCTCTGAAGGCAACTGCCTCAGTAATGGGGTAAATTAGTCCTAGATTAGAGGATGCTTTTGTCCTGCCTAATTAACATTCAAGGCAAGCCTTGAAAGGATCAAACTGTCTCCAAGTAGTTTAACTTCATCTCTAAACAAGGTTTTTTTTGTTTTTTGTTTTTTGTTTTTAAGATTTTATTTGTTGGGAACCTTGGGTGGCTCAGCGGTTTAGCGCCTGCCTTTCGCCCAGGGCGCGATCCTGGAGACCCGGGATCGAATCCCACGTCGGGCTCCCGGTGCATGGAGCCTGCTTCTCCCTCTGCCTATGTCTCTGCCTCTCTCTCTCTCTCCTTCTCTCTCTCTCTCTCTAATAAATAAATAAAAATTTAAAAAAATAAATAAAAGATTTTATTTGTTTATTCTTGAGAGACACAGGCAGAGGGAAAGCATGCTCCCCATGGGGAGCCCAATGCAGGACTTGATCCCAGGATTCTGGGATCACGACCTGAGCCAAAGACAGACACTCAACCACTGAGCCACCCAGGAACCCCCTAAACAAGGTTAAAAATACTTAAAGGGGGATCCCTGGGTGGCGCAGCACTTTAGCACCTGCCTTTGGCCCAGGGCGCGATCCTGGAGACCCGGGATCAAATCCCGCATCAGGCTCCCGGTGCATGGAGCCTGCTTCTCCCTCTGCCTGTGTCTCTGCCTCTCTCTCTCTGTGTGTGACTATCATGAATAAATAAAATCCTAAAAAAAATAGTTAAAGGACTATAAAAATCTAGCACCCAGGAATGTAAGATTTGTAGTGTCTGGCATCAAATAAAAAAATGACACAAAAATACAAAAGGAAAATAACAAAACAAAACACCCAACAAAGTAAGACAAAACTCCCAAAATAAAGGGGAAAAAATGACCAGGCATGAAAACAAGCAGAAAAATACAACTCATAACGAGGAGAGAATCTATAGATACAGATCCAGAAATGACACAGGTGATAGAATTAGCAGATAAAAACATTAAGAGTTACTATAAATATATCACATGTGTTCAAGGAGGTAGAGATACAGGAGCATGGTGAGGAGAGTCATGGAATTTTATGTAGGCATAATCCATGGCAGATTCAACATGGCAGAAGGAAGATTAGTAAACTTGAAGATAGAGCAAGAGACCTACTCAAAATGCAACACAGAAAAATAAGAATGGAAAAATCACCTAAAAAGCCCAAACTGAGCATCAATGGGCTGTGGGATGATTCTAAGCAGTCTAATAGTTAGTATAATTGGAATCTGATCAAGGGAGGGAGAAAAAAAAAAAAACACCTGAAAAAAATGACTCCAAACTTAATGCAAACTATCAATTCACAGATTCAAGAAGCTCACTGAACCCCAAGTATGAAAAACCTGAAGGGAACTAAGGCATATAATAATCACATTGTTTAAATCAGAAATAAGGGCACCTGGGTGGCTCAGTTAAGCATCTGCCTTAGGCTCAGGTTATGATCCCAGGGTCCAGAGAACAAGTCCCATGTTGAGCCTCGCCCCCTGCTCAGTGGGGAGCCGGCTTCTCCCTCTCCCTTTGTGTTCTTCCCCCACTTGTGCGTTCTCTCTCTTGCTCTCTCTCTCTCAAATAAATAAATAAAATCTTAAAAGAAATAAAGTATCGTAAGAAACAAAACCATCAACCAAGAATTCTACACTGAGTTAAAAAATCTTTCAAAATTAAAGGCAAGATAATGACTTGCTCAACATACAAAAGCTGAAAGAATCATTACCAGTAGATTAGCACCACAAGAAATGTTAAAGGAAGTCCTTTAGGCAGACAGAAAATGAGACCAGCTGGAAATCTGGATCTATACATGGGAATAAAGAGCACAGGAAATGGTGAGCATGGGAGCAGGTATAAAAGACTTTGTTCGTATTTTTTAAGTGTCTTTACAGGGCAGTTGGCTGATGAGCTGAATCTTGACTATATTGAAACATCCTGGTTAAGGATTGGCAGACACTGGGATAAAAGGTACCCAGGGGACAGGCCGGGTGGCTCAGCAGTTTAGTGCCACCTTCAACCCAGGGCGTGATCCTGGGGTCCCAGGATCGAGTCCCGCATCGGGCTCCCTGCATAGAGCCTGCTTCTCCCTCTGCCTGTGTCTCTGCCTCTCTCTCTTCTCTGTGTGTCTCATGAATAAATAAATAAAATCTTTTAAAATTATTAAAAAAAAAAAAGGTACCCAGGTATCTAGGATCTCTGTTTATTATTATTATTTACTTTTAAGTAGGCTCCATGACCGTGGGGCTTGAACTCACAACCCTGAAATGGAGTCGCATGCTCTACCAACTGAGTCAGCCAGATGCCCTCTGTGTATTACTTTTTACAACTGTCTGGGAATCTCCAATTATCTCAAAACAAAAAGTTCCACACACACAAAAAAAATGATTGGTTAAAGTAAAAGTAATAGTGATAACAATTCAACAATCCTATTCCTAGGTCTACACCCAAGAGAAATGAAAAGATACAACCATTCAAAAACTTGTACATGGGGATCCCTGGGTGGCGCAGCGGTTTGGCACCTGCCTTTGGCCCAGGGCGGGATCCTGGAGACCCGGGATCGAATCCCACATCGGGCTCCCGGTGCATGGAGCCTGCTTCTCCCTCTGCCTATGTCTCTCTCTCTCTCTCTCTCTGTGTGACTATCATAAAAAAATAAACTTGTACATGAACATTCATAGCAGCATTATTCGTAATAGCCAACATTGGGGGTAGGTGGGAACCGAATGTCTATTAATTGCTGAATAGATCAATAAAATGTGGCATATCCATACAATGAAATCCTCCTTTGCGGTAAAAAGGAATGAAACACTGGACATGCTAAAACATGAAAACATGATGCCAAGGGTAAGAAACAACAAAAAGCCACATATTGTATGATTCCATTTCTAGGAAGTGTCCAGGATGGGCAAGTCTATAGAGACAGGAAAAAGATTACAAGGTGTCTGGGGCTAAGCAGGTGAGGGGCAAAGGGGGAGTGACTGCTGATGGGTATGGCTTTCTTTCTGGGGTGATGAAAATATTTTAAAATTGATTTGGGGGATGCCTCGGTGGCTTAGCAGTTTAGCGTCTGCCTTTGGCCCAGGGCGTGATTGGGTTCCCTGCCGGGAGCCTGCTTCTCCCTCTGCCTGTGTCTCTGCCTCTCTGTCTGTGTCTCTCATGAATAAATAAATACAAAATCTTAAAAAAAAAGTATAGCTAATAAACTAACATAAAGGAAATAAAATGGAATCATGTAAGCCACTCAATCCAATGTAGGGAAGGAAGAGCTGGAGAAGGCAACAAGGAAGTCCCCAGGAGAGGAAAAGGCTGGATGTGGAAGGAGGGTACAGGGCAGACAGGCTGGCAGGCAACAGATCGTGCAGGAACTCGGGGTTCAGCAGCCTCAGGAGGGCCCTGATCTAGTGTCTGTTCATCCAGGTGTGGTGTGGAGGTGGGGGAGGCCAAGAGAGGAGAGAGGTGTGTCAGGAGTGCACTACCAACAGGACACAGGCTGACCGCTGGACAGACAGAGAGATGAAGAGATAGAGTATGGGTGGTTTGGGATTTTAATTCAGGGGAGGATGAACAGGACACAAAGATGGATGGGGTGGGAACGAAATGGAGGGATCCAGAATGGTGTTTGCCTGCAGGCTTTGGCAATGTATCCATGAAAGGTGGGAGGGAGGATGTGCTGGGCAGTCGGGGAACCAAGACTTCTGGTTCAGGCAGGAGTCTGAGGTGCCCGTTGGGTCTGTGAGCAGAGCTGGGCCACCTGGACACTCGAGGACAGACCTTGAGGTAGAATGTCTACACCAGAGATTACACACTTGGGAGTTATAAAGGGCAGGGAGATAAGGATGGCTGTGGAGGGAGCTGTGGATTTGCCACCCCTGGAGGCTGTGGAGGCAGGAGGGAGAGTTAGGGAATCCGGACAGGGCATCTGGAGACCCCCATCCACACCCCCGCCCCAGACTGCAGGGGTCACCAGTGGTCTGGTAAGAAGCAGGAGTGAAGTGAGCAGGGACACAGAGCATGCAGGGCATGGTCACCTCAGCAGGTGTGCTTCCTGTGTGTGGAAGGGGACTGAGGACACCAGGACAGATTTGGCTGAGGACATAGAAGGGGAGTCCAGGAGCACCCACAGGGAGCAGGAGGTGGGATTGTGGAGAGCAAGGATTCAGTAAAGAACAACAGTTAGAAGTTTCACAGTAAAGGGGGGCAGAGAAAAGGGGTCGCGGGTGAGGGCACGCCTACGAGCTACGGAAGGTTTCTGAGAGGGCTGCATGGAGCCACTGATCACCTGATTGCCAGCAGGGACAGGAGGCAGGGAGGGAGATGCCTGCTGCCCCTGCCTGCACAGCCTTGCCGCTCGCCCACCCTAAACCTGCAGATCCCAGTGACACCCCTTCCAGGTCTGAATCTAGGTGCTGGCATCTCCCACCTGGGCAGGTTTCTTGGGGGCACTCGCCACTGTCTCCACTGCCCTGTGGTCTTCCTGTACCTGAATGCCCCTTGAGAAAAGGACCTGCCGTCAGACCTGGCTCAGCACCACGCTGGCAGAGTTAACAAACAGGAGTGTGGATGGACGATGGATAGATGGACAGATGCCCTGCAAGTCTCTAAGGTTCCCAAAGCCCAGAGCCCTGACCCTTAGTTTCCATGTCTCACTGACCCAGAGCCCCACTGTTCCCTGACCCAGCCCACCTTGGGATCCAAGTCGAAGAAGCTGTAGTACTTAAAGCGCAGCCAGAGCATGTCCCCGGCCTTGATCCCCTGCTGCATGAGGCACCGTGAGGAGTCCAGCCACCTGGTCCACAGCACAGGGAAGAGGTCAGGGCTTATGCAGGTACAGTGCTGGGGCATGACAGGGGTGGGGCGGGGCTGGGCAGGGGGCCCGAGGGCCGGCACACATGTAAGAAAGGCCTGGAGATAGGCAGTGTGGATTTGGGGCAAGGATACAGGGAGGGCATGGGCTCTGGAAGTGGGAGCCCAGACGCAAGGGGACCTGGCCCCCGGGGTGTCCTCGGCATGCAGTACACCTGCTGTGGAGCTGAGTCTTGTCCAACAGGGAGCTGGGCCGAGGCAGGCGCTGGAGCAAGAGGGGGTCCGGCGGTGGCTGTGGCCGGCTCAGCATGTGATAGCAGGCCTCGGTCTGGGCACTGTCTGAGAAGTGGGCTGGCATTCCCCGGAACAATGCAGGTGCCACGCCTGAAGTGCAGGACAGGGTGAAACGGGCCCGGCCCCCAGCCCCGGCCTCCAGGGCCATGTAGCACCCAGCACCCCCTCCCACCACCCCCACCCCCGGCCTGCCCAGCCTATGCTCACCTCCAGCCAGGACGACCTTGGTCAAGTCATACAACTCCTCTTCTGGCTCCTTCTCCTTCTTCTTCTTCTCCTTCTTCTCAGGAGCCCGGAGTAGGGACAGCTCCTCAGGGTGCCGGATACCTGAGGGGAGCTGGGACCTCAGCGAGGGGGCCGGGGTCCTGCCCCCGAACCTCTCGCCCCACTCCTGGGTCCTGTGGAACAGATCACAGCCCTGCAGGCTGGACAGGGACCAGGGCAGCAAGGACATGGCGACAATGGCTGGCTGGGCCCATAAGGCAGGGTCAACTGCCCTCTTGCAGGACCCTTGCCCCAGAGGGAGAGCAGGGGACTCACTGAGGAGGCGGCAGATGGCAGCCACAGCCTGGAAGAGGGGCTGGGAGAAGCTGGCTCGCAGGCGCAGGGCCCGGCGATTGGGCAGCCGTAGGATGATGGGCCGGTGCTGGGGCCCGAAGAAGAGGCGAGCATCGGCCAGGATGCCGTACTTGTCCAGCGTCCAGTGGGTCTGCAGGAGCCATTGTCTTTTCTGTTCCCACCAAATGGCATGGTCTGACCAGTCCTGCTTGCGCTCTGTGGGCCACGGGGGAGGCAGGGTGTCCGTCAGCCACGGGGGGCCGTGCCCGGTGCTATGCGGGCACGCTAATGATGCATGTGAGCGACGACCCAGTTAGGAACACGAATACCTCACTCTTCCTGCAGCTAGTGAGAGATGACACGTGTCTCTTTGGGGACCCCCAGGTGGGCTGCTGTGCGGTGAGCACAAAGACGAAGCAGGGACACAGCTCTCTAGGGTGTGCAGGGCCCTTCCTCACCAATGGTCTGGTCCCAGCTCCACCCGCACTCCTGCTACCACCTTCCCCTGGTCCCTCCCAGCGTCACCAGAGCTGCCAGGGGCAAGAAGTTCTCTGGTTCCATCTATCCAGCCTCTCAGGGTCCTGTGAGCTTTTGCCCCTCACTCTGTTCTGGCTTTGTGGCGCCCTCTCCCCATCTCCTCTTGACCTCTGGCTCTTGTGTTGTCTCCTGGGCCTCTTCTCCTGGCCTGTCCTTGACCTTCTTTGGGTCAGATTCCCATCCTTCTCCATGTCCTCCTCTTTCCAGGGCTCCTGCCTTGTTCCCCAGACACACTACACCTCAGGACCAGGCCCCAGGCCAGAAACTCACATACCAGGGCCTAAAGGACATGCCCACCAGGTCCAGGCATTCCAGAAACATGTTTACCGGCCCCATGCCTGCCTCTGGGACAGAAATGCCATGACTTCTACTTCCAGAGTGAATCTCGCTCTGCCTGACACGGGATGTAGGCTTTTCTCCCTCCTTGCTGGCTCCAGCATGGGGGGCTGGGTCACAGGACTTCCCTGCCAGGCCCAAGCATCATCTTTTCACTTTTAGCCACCACTTTTAATCGATGCCGATCTCAGCTCCAAAATCCATCCTCCTATCCATCCTCACTGCCCACCGTAGGAGAGCCTCTCTCCCTGCCTTCAGCCCACCCCTACCTGGGGGGCTGTCTAGACGTAAGCCACTGTTGAAAACCCTTTAGTGGCTGCTCTCCACCTGCAGGGTAGCATAAACTGATGGCAGCTACCCCGATCTCTTGTTGGCACACTCCAGGCGTTCTTTCGGGTCGAGGCCCCAGTTCAGAGTGCCCCATGCTCCAACATCATGCCCAGCCCCCTGTCACTCACCCCCCTGTCACAACACGCCCCACTCCCCCCACTCCCCATCCCTGACATGGCCCTTCTCAGGAACCCCCTAGGGAGTCTCCCTGGCCTGGCTGAGTGCAGCCCCTCTGGCTCCAGGCCCCATGCTCTTTCCCCCTCTGCTGAGGCCAGCATCCAGCCCTGTGCCAGGAGCTGAAGGGTCAGTGTCACCTGCCTGGCCATACGTCAGGAAGGCAGGGGCTGGCATCGTGGCGTGGAGGCTGGCTGGCTGAGTCTCAGTAGGCATCTCAGACAATAGGAATGAGCAGGATTAGGAGGGATAGAGACGATGTCCCCACTGCCAGGGACAGGAGCTGGAGGGACTTACTCCCGGTGGGGGGGACTCAGCTGTGGGTGGACCATCTGCTCTGCCCATCTGACTGAATCACTGCCTCCTTGTTTAGACCTGTTGCATCGCTCGTGTGCCTGACCTGGAGCCAACCAGGTCTTCCTCGGGGGCCCTGTATCTTCACCCCCTCTGCCCTGACTCAGCCCAGACCTGGCTGTAGCTTGGTCTGACGCCCGGTCTCCTGAGGGACCCTCTGTTTTCCACTTCTGCTTTCACAGCCTCCTCGGGCCTTGCCTGTTGGAAGCTCCCTCACGACCTCGAGCCTTGTGGCTAGGCTGTCCCCAGGGCTCCAACTGTCCAGAAGCCAACCGACCTGCCTCCCAGGCTGCATGTGGTGGGTTGGCTGGGTCTGAGGAAGCCCTGGCCTACCTTCCCCACAGGGGGCCTGGGACCTGGGACCTGGGACTCTTGGCTGAAATGATCGGGGGCCTGCCTTCTGGCTCTGCCTGTCCGGGTGTGCCAGCTGCCCTCCCAGGAAGGGGCAGCCCCCACCCCCAGCAAGGAAAGGGGCTGAGAGGCCCCCGTGGGCCTAGCCCTGGTCCTCTCCACGCCTGATACCACAGGCCGCTGTGCTGTAACTTCCTGTGGGGGCAGGGCCTTCCCACCCCACTGGGCCTGTCACCAGCCTGCTGAGGGCTTCCGCCCTGGCCCAGGGTATGGGAGCAGGCCCCAGGCCCCCCACCCCCAACCCCAGTCTCGTGAGACCTTGAGTGCAGCCTGTGCCCTGGCCCAGGCAAGGCCCCTTCTGCCCCTCGGACCTTGGCAGTCCACTCTGTGCTCTGTGGGGATTTAGCAGAACCAGCTGGAGTGAGAGGAAGGGAGGGAGAACTGCGGGAGGGAGGGGAAGTTGGGGAAATGTCTTTTTTGGAACCAAATGATTAAGCTGGTGCCTGAGTCACTGTGGTGGGGTTATCAAGAGCCGCAGAGTTGGGGGGCCCGGAAGCATCTAGGGACCCACTTAGGGCCACTCCAAGGTGCTGAGGTCAGCAACGGGGGGCCGCGGGGCACTCACTGATCTCCTCCACAATCTTCAGGAGCACCCCTCCGATGTGCGACTCCCCTGTGACCCGGAGGGTGACCGACTCAGCCTCCGGGTCATCCTCTCCCACAAAGACCCGCAGCTCCCAGGACGAGTCGATGTAGTCCCCGGTGGCCGTCTTCATCCCCGCCATGTCTGTGGTGGCTCTCTCGAGGGTGGGGAGATGGTAAAGTAGGCAGGGTGCCGGGCCTGGGCTGCGGCCTGCGTTCAGACAGACGTAGCCCTGTGGTGATCTGGATGGGCAGGAGAGCAGAGAGGAGCCCGAAGGCCAGTATGTCACGGCAGCAGGGAGACATGGGTGCTGAACTGTTCCGGGCACACCTCCGACTCCCTCACCCTCACCCTCACCCTCACCCTCACCCTCACCATCATCAGTGGTTTAGTTGAACAGTGCAGTCCAATGCACTCCCATCTTACAGTTAGACTGAGGCCCAGTAAGAGTAAGGGGGGGGCTCACTCATCCCCCAGCTTGATGCCAGAGCTCGGTACCGCCTCCCTCTGCTTCCCATTTCACCTCCAAGCCCACAAGGGCAACTGCCCACCCTGGAAATGGTGGTGAGCCCAAACCAGAAAATACTTCCGATCCTGGCCAGGAGCTCAGACCCAGACATCCCAAACCAGCCAAGGCTTCTCTCGGGCTGTGAAAAGTCCAGGGTGCCGCATGGAGAGAGGCATGCTGGGCAGAGGGGCTGCAGGACAGTGAAGAAAGGGTGGTTGGGCTTTCAGCTTCCGCCCCAGCTTACCTGGCCTGGAAGGGCTTGGGGGCTGCAGGTGCCGGGGTTGGAGTGTCAGCCGCTCCCGACCTCAGTGTAAAACACCTGCAGCTCAGGGTTTCCTTCCCCCTTTGCTTTCTCTCTGGAGCTTTCTTTAGAGGGCAGCCTTTGCTGTCTTATCATGAGGCTCAGCCCCTCCCCAGGGCGGGCTGGCGGGCTGGCGCTGGGTGCAGGAAGCAACTGCCAGTAGGCTGAGGATTCAGGGGTGGCCCCACCTTTGTTCCCAGGGAGCATAGGGAGCAAGGAAGGAGCAGGCTTGGGGCCCACCACCAGGACCACACAAAGCGTCCCCTGATCTGGAGGGAAGAAGCTCAGTTCAAACTAGAAAAGCCCCCAGTTCACGTTGTCTACACACACTGTCCACTTAGAGGGTCATCTTCTATCTCCAGGCTGTCACAAAGTGGGGGTGGGGGTGGGGGTGGCCGAGGCTTTGGGACATGAAACATCACTGTGCTGTCGAGAGGGAAAGCCACACAGCTGAAAGGATCAGATCTAGGTTATTTAGGAACCGGGAAGTCAAGCAAGCTCAAGCCCCAGGGAGTCCCTTATCACCACGAAGTAGATCCCTGAAGAAGATCCCCGAGGGAAACCACTTCCTTAAGTCTTTCCTGTCCCCAGTAAGGGCCTCTACTTCCAAACATGTAAAAGCTTAGAGCTGCCCAGTGGAACAGCTGCACAGGAATTGGCCTCTGCTCATTCATGACCTCCCCACCCCACGCCTCCAGGGCTTGAGGCTTCAAATCTGGCGCTGCCACTCTACCCCTCCACGTGACATTCTTGCTCACACCGTGTATCCCAAGGGTCACTCCCGTCAGTCAAGTTCCTACTCAAATGTGACCTTGGATGGTCCCATCACCTGCCCTGGGAGGTCAGCTTTGGCCTGACCACAAAGGCCTCTGCTCACTGCTGGTTCCCAGCAGGAACTGAGCCTTTTCAGAGAAAATCAGTTTATTTATTTGTTTGTTTGTTTGTTTATTTATTTATTTATTTATTTATTTTTTATTTATGATAGTCAGAGAGAGAGAGAGAGAGGCAGAGACACAGGCAGAGGGAGAAGCAGGCTCCATGCACCAGGAGCCCGATGTGGGATTCGATCCCAGGTCTCCAGGATCGCGCCCTGGGCCAAAGGCAGGCGCCAAACCGCTGCGCCACCCAGGGATCCCTGTTTATTTATTTTTAAAGATTTTATTTATTTATGCATGAGAGACATAGAGAGAGAGAGAGAGAGAGGCAGAGACACAGGCAGAGGGAGAAGCAGGCTCCACGCAGGGAGCCTGACTTGGGACTTGATCCCAGGTCTCCAGGATCCCACCCTGGGCTGAAGGCAGCGCTAAACCGCTGAGCTACCAGGGCTGCCCAGAGAGAATCAGTTTAGCTAAAACCTGAGAAATGAGTCCGTAGCACCCAAGGGCAGCAGCATGCCTGTGGAGATGAGGTTTTCTGAAGCTGCCACACAAATGGAGGAAGGAGCCTGCTGGAGATTCCCAGGGGAAGGCCATCTTATGCAAAGTCAAGGGACCGGAAGTGCAGCCAGCTGCTGGCCTCAGCAGCTTCCTAGCTCAGAAAGCTGTGCTGTTGGAGCAAATGAGGAAGTTTTTACTCCCACCCTGCTCCAGCGTTTTAGAAATAGCTTGCTGTAACCATGTTCAAATGAAACTAAAAATCTTTCAGTTGAGCAGTGATGTTTGTTTGGTCTTTTTTGGTTGTCAAATGATGGTTTACTGAAGTATTTCCCGTGGCAGCTCTTAACTAGCTGGGCATTCCACTGCACCACTTACCGACGCCACCTGTGGTGTCGAGGGTGGCAGCCAGCAACACTGCAGCGCACAGACTGGGCAGTCTCCTGGACCTCTAATGGTTCCAGAGAATTCTCTAGCTGAAGACTGATGTGGTACCTGTTGGACAATGTTGACGATCTCATCAAAAGTGGTTATTTTGACTGGGCTTAATGTTTTTCTGTCTCTTGGCAGTTCCTTGAGGGCTTTGATGATCAAGGCACCAGCAGAAGGTACCGGATCTGGGCCTGTTCTGAACAGTTTTACCATCATTCTCAGGCCCTTTGTCACTAGCTGCCTTGGCAAGGTCATCACTAACCTTTTTGGTGACAGTGGGGCCAACAGACAGGAGGCTAGGGCAGACATGGTATCCCCACCAGAGGACCTCAGGTAGAGGACTTTGAGCTCACTGGGTTTGAACTTTAGGCGGCAAGGTGGAAGCAGCTGGCGTGGGATGAACCCAGAGTGAAAGATGCGCAGGGGCCTCCTCTGAGCAAAGGGCCAAGAGCAAGAGCAAGTTTTTTTTAAAGATTTATTTGAGAGAGAATACATAATGCAGAGGGAGAGAACCCTCAGATTCCCCTCTAAGCATGGAGCCCAACATGGGGCTTGATCCCGAAACCCTGAGGTCATGACCTGGGCCAAAACCAAGAATCAGATACTTAATAGACTGAGCTGCCCAGGCGCCTCGGAAGCAGAATTCTTTAAAAACTCTAACACAGAGCAGCTGACAGATTCAGTCTCCTGACCTTCAGAGAGGTCTGAGAAGACTTGTGATGGAACACATTTTTTGTTCTGGGATGGGACCCATGTTCTCTACATCTAGCTGGTTTCTGGTTAAGAGATTGGAGTATGATGAGTGGGCAAGGTTGGGAGCATCTGTTTACCTGGACCTCTGGGGGTACCACTCTGGGGAGGGAAGCCCCTCCCCCAACTCCCTTTCAGCTGCTCGTTGGGCTATGGCGCCACCTAGCGACCAAAGCATACAAAGGTGACACGCATCTGCCACCTGAGGAAGAGGCTCTGGTTCCCACTCAGTTCCTACTCCCACCTTTCCCACACCTCAGTTTGTAATCCCTACAGGGCAACCACTTGAGTCATTTGGCAAAAAAATTACAAGAACAGGACAATGTATAACCACGCCCGACTGGCTTGTTTTATTGGAGAAGGGCATGTGGAGTTAACAACATGAGGACAATTGGGACCTGAGGTCAGGGAAGAACAGCACCCCCTCCCCATACATGCCCACTGCCCCAAATAAAAAATAACCAACTATGGGAGAGCAGCTGAGACAGTGACTGAAGTTGGGGAAGGGAACAGGGAACCCAGGGGGTGGTGGAAGAGACCATGCGTGTGCTGGGAGGGCCCAGAGGCAGCGGCGGTGCGAGTAACATGAGTACGAGTCTCTTGTGTCTTCCACATAGGTCTATATAAATATATAGAGATAAGTTGTTCACTTTCCCTTGCTCTCCCCTCTGCTCCGCGCGGCTTGCCGCGGTCCCAGCTCCTCTTTCCACATGAGGGCGAAGGGAAGGGGATGATGAGCAAGTCATCACCGAATTGCAATCAGACCCACATCCATCAGCTTCTGGATCTTCTGTGCTATTACAGGATTCTTCAAGTGTCTTTAAAAAAAAAAAAAAAAAAGCAAAGTTATTAGTTATTAGATTTAAACCTAAAAAGGTTTTTTTTTTCTTCTTCCTAAAAAGGTCTTACTGGCTCTCAGAGCAGCCCCAATGCAAACTCCTCAAGCCCCATGGAAGGCACCAACAGGAGTCCTGGCAAAGAATGCTCTGTGAAGGCCCTGGCCCGTGGGCAGAACATGGCTGGCTCCACATGAACCCGCCGACACAGCCCAAGTCTGAGACTGCTCTCCCAGCAAAGCTGCTCTTCCCACCAGATCACTCAAGCCAACCCAGTTAGCAGCAACAGAGCCATCCCAGCTAACCACCTGCAGCCGGCCTTTATAACTGCAAGCAGGCAATACACAGTAACCACTCCCCTTAGACGGGTCACATGGCCACCAAGCTCAGGCTCCCTGCTCGCCTCCACCTTTTCCATCTCCCCCAACTCCACTTACTCGCTGAGTGCCTGAGGGTCCTTCTGCATCTGCTCCAGGATAAGCCGCATGGCAGGGTCACTCATTATCTGCTGCACCTCAGGGTCAGCCATGGCCCGTCGCTTCACGTCTTCGGGGCTATCGTGGCGGTTGTACTGGGCCATCATACAGCGCTGGTAACCCTCTGCCGCTTCCTGAATCCCAGCAAAGCCCAAAAGGGAGGGTGTTAGCACTAACCGGTTCACTGCTTCCGCAGCTCTGAGATATCAGGGGTAACCAGAAGCAAGGAGACAAAGAAACAGGCAAGAGGGAGAAACCAGCAAAACAACACCAAAAGGACCCAAGGGACAATGGAGGTAGGGGAGAGCCCCCTGGAGACCAGAAGGAGCCCTACCTTACAGTTGGAGTCCAGATCTAACGCCTTCTGGTAGACATCCATGGCTTTCGTGTAGTCCTTCATTGCCTCCAGGGCAGCTGCTTTCCGGGTGTACCCCTTGACTGCAGGGAAGTGGGGAAGGGGAGGCGTTAGTAGAACATGGCTCTGAAGGGTGCTGCTGCCACCTTCCCATGGGAACCCCAACACCTGTCTCGCCTGCTGACACTAGCTAAATGCTACAGGCCCCCAGATACAAGGAGGCAAGCATGTCCTCTCCCCCCTCCACCTCTGGGCCGGTGTCAAGAGACAAGGAGATGCCATGGAGAAGTACTTACTGAAGGCTGGCTCTAGCTGGATACATTCCTCACAGTCCTGGGAAGGAAAGAAAAAAATGCGGCTCATTCCTTCAGATGAGCTACCTGGAGGCAGGCTGGTCATTTGGATTTACTGATCTAATGCTTCGGCCACACCCAAGACAGATTCTTGTGTCCAGAGCATCTGTTAACCCAGGCATCTGGGCTGTTTCACAGAAGGCCCAGCCAAGGATGACAGAAGAACAAGGCAAGCAAAACCATGAGGGTTGACAAATCCAGACTATGGAGCACCCTAAGGAAGGCAAGTGGCCTGGACTTTTCAAAGAGCTAAGATTATGGAAGAACCTACAAAAGGTAGGGAAACCTCTAGTTTGAGAAACTGAAGAGGACCTGCCAACCAAATGAAATGCACAGGCCCTGATCCTGACAGCTTTAAAATGTATTTCTGGATATGTGGAGAAATTTCTGAAGAGACCCACAGTATGTGGCCTTGCAGCCCTCATTCCACTATTATCAAATGCTAATGACTCCTAAAGCGCACTCAAGAGCTCTGACACAGAGCGCCAAACA